CCCTCAAGAACTTTCAAGTGATCCAAAGGACCGCCGCCTCCAAAGAGAAGGAGAGTGTGATCAGAGCCCGGGCTAACTCTGGCCTTAATTCAGTGAGTGTTACGAAAGGGGACAGCGGTTGAGACCCGGAGTTGTGAATGATTACCAAATGTGTTGCATCTAATCCACAGAATAGCGGTTGGGACGACCACTCGTCCAGAGGGCCGTCGAATCTGATTGATTTGCAAAGGTTTGTATCCACACATTGCTTACACCCCATACTGACCACTAGTTTACGCAGAGATAAGTGTTTAGGCTTTAAGTTTTGAAGGACAAGCGGATGACGTCTATATGATGTCAAATGTATTGTAAATTAATTGATAATTTATTATTTTATTGAAATTGAAAACTGGTTAACCCGTTATAACTGTTAATTTGGTAATTTGCAGACAGTATTACATAATTGTGAGCTATTTATACCGAGAGTGAAACAGAAATTTTGATAATTAGATACTTGATACTTAACAATGATCGCGGTCGATGTATATTTTCGGTTAGTTTACAATTAAACAGATTATTCTTGCATTTTATCCATACATTAGATCCAATGTTTTTGACTTATAATACTGTATACATAAGTCTATACACCGATTGATTGTAACCGATGTTTAATTGTTGTGTCATTTAGTCCACAATCGCAGACACAGATCCAGATGGAAGAGGAGTGCGATATAGAGCTCCTGCGGGACAGAGAGCAGGCCATCCGTAAGATCGAGTCGGATATAGTGGAAGTGAATCAGATATTCAAAGACTTGGCGACAATGGTTCACGAACAGGGAGAGGTGATCGACAGCATTGAGGCCAATGTGGAGACCGCGTCCATACAGGTGCACGAGGGCACCGCTCAGTTGTCTAAAGCGCGTGACTATCAGGTTTGTCCGGCCAGTCCTCCCGCGAGGGCCGCACTTTTTCCACTGACTTTTATATCTGTTTTGTTTGAGTGGTTTCTCTCTTTCGCGACCATCGATGGCATGAATTGTTGTTTGAATTGATTTATTTGTATTTCCTATCAATCTTTCTCTCTTTCACCCATTGATTGATTGGTTTTTGTATTAATGATATGATTTTGATGACGATCTCTGAACCCAATGCCTGTGTTTTTTAGACCCGAGCGCGCCGTAAGAAACTTTGCCTCATTATAGTACTTGTGATAATACTTGCAATTATTGTGGCCGTCGTCTGGATTGAGACAAGCAGTAAATGAATTGCCATTTATTTTGATTTAATTTCCTAACCCTTTATCTCTCTCTATCTCTCCCTGTTGTCCGTGTGTTACTTTGGTTTACTCTCTCTCTTATATCACTTTCTCTCTCCATTACCTCTCCTATGATTGACTCTCTTTACGAATACTTTAATTAATTTGAATTTTCATTTTTTCATTTATTTTCAATTATTGATTAATTAATTGTTGTCTATTGTTATTGTTTTAACGGTTTGATTGATTGTCTGGTATTAATGCATAATTTGTTTGTCTATTATCTCTCTTTTGCATCCATAGAGTAAAGCGCGTCGAAAGACCTGTTTGTTGAGCATTATCTTCGCGTCTGTGGTTTTTCTAATATTAATAATTTTATGGTTTTCGCGATAATAAACGACAATAAAAGTCGGACATTCCGTTCCCCCGAAAAGTCTTCAGTTCTCGTTTACCCACCGCTCAACTCTCCAACAGTCTCTCTCTCTCTCTCTCTCTCTCTCTCTCTCTCTCTCTGCTCTGCTCTCACGTACCCAATGAGTTAATTGTAAAAATTGAACTTGGTAATTAATTAAAGTGATTACAAAACTGAATGCAAAATATTAATAAACAAAAAGTCGACGATTTCCGCAAAATTCATGTCAAAAGCAAAACTATTGAAAAGATTTACTGCAAATCGCATTAAAGTAAACAACAATTTTTATGATCAAAATTGTGTAATCAAAACAATTTTAACGTCCTATTCATTGATCATACATATAGTGCGCTCAATGGGGGTTAAGGTAGCATTAAAAGCATCATATTTTTTTATATTTATGAGTCTCATTAGGTTAGCGACAGGTATTTGTTGAGTGCATTTCTCATTTAGTAAATGTCATCATTTTGTTTTATAAATGTGAAGATTAGTGAAGAGTTTATTATTATAACAATAATAATAATAATACAAAAGTAAATAATGTGTTTCGAGATAAAGGCTTATGTGATAAGGAGATGGAAATGTCTAAATCCCTAACCAGTGATTCATTTTGTGTTTTTAAATGATGAAAACTTTTTTCTCTCTAACGATTGAGTCGTTGAAAATTGAATACAAATTGAATGTATTAGCGATAAAATGGTTAGAAATTAACAATTCAAATGACATATTCATTATCTCTTTCCACGAAAACTACTGTCCATTACTATCAATAAGTTATATAAATACCTGCATTAATATCACTTATAATGATATTCAGGTGATATGCAGTAAAAATGTGTACATTTTTGTATAAATTTTCTTTTCAATACTGAATATTTTAGTCGACAAATAATTTATTCAATTATTAATAACTGATTATCTGTTTGTCGGGAAAATATTTGCCGAGTTTTAAAGAGTTTTACGTGAATTACATTTTTAATTCAATGACTCTTTGTGTGATATTTTTAAAATGTTTTTCATTAAAAGTATAAAATTAGAGCCAAATTGAGGGTTAGTTATAATTATTTGGTATTTAGACTAAACTTAATCTCTCGGATGATCTCTACTTTACTGTACATCTTGTGAATAATTAAGCAAAATATTTGGACCGAAATATCATTGCGCTTACATTTTCTAATCTGATTTATAAATTAATTAAAAAATATTAGAAATATTTTAAAACTGCCAATCATTACGCTTTTTATATAGTATTTTATAGAAACAATTTTAACTAAAATACTTTCAGCATTTAAATCACTATTCATATGATGTAAGCCTCCGATGCTTTAAGAGATAACAATATTAATCAAAATGCAGTATAAATAAAAATAAAACTTTATTATCGGCTCTTTCTTTGAGTAAAAATGCATTTAAATGAATAAAATAATACTTCAAAAATTCAAATGCAATATAAAAATGTCAATTAGATATGGCTAGTAATCCCTCCGCCGTGTAAAATAGTATCTATAATACATACAGTGTGTGATTGTAATTAATAATGTAATTGTATTGATATGTTGTTGAGGGGCAGGGAGTGTGGCACTGATATCAAGCAGTTTTTGTTTTGAAATATGAAATCAAGTCGTCTTATAAAGTGGTCCAACAGGTGAGAGGTGTGGACGCGAGAGGAGACGTGATTCAAACAGCGTTCTCTCTCTCTCTCTCTCTCTCTCTCTCTCAATTCTTATCTCATATGTACAGATTAATCATTAAATGGATTACGATTTTTGTACTATCGATGCCGAGAGTAAATTATTGTAGTTTTAGTAACACTTAATCCCCTAAAGTATGCAAACAAAACCATTTTTTTCATTCAAACACATTTTGCCACTTCTAATAATGAGGTAATTTAGTTGTGTATAAGCTTTCAGGTGGAGAGAGGGAGTGGCAAATCAATACTACTTGTATATGACTTAAGCTCCGCTTTATTAGACTCTTGTATTATATAACTTATAACTTTGATACATACAGGGGATGGGTATCCGACCCCCCAAACCATCATAAATTTCTATCAACAATGAATGTATAGTTTATTACATTACTTTTTTGGCACGATCAAAGTTTTCTGTTTGTGTTGTTTGAGTTTTTGGCCCACACCCTACTATTAATACATTAAGTATTGAGCATGGTCGTACATTTATATACATTTAGTTTTGATTAATAAATTACAAGTGGAGAGCAATTTCTTTTCACTCTATCACAACTATTTTTCCTTTTCTTTATTACATAATTATTATATAAATATTTAAATAGTTTGTAATTAATTTTAATTGTTTTGTCTATGAATAGTGGGAACGTCGACCTCGAGCTCGAAGAATATGCCGAATCTGTCGAATTCAATGTGGTTTCAGTTGACTGTCATAACAGTTCCCATCGCCGGCAGTATTCTTCTCGTCATTCTTATAGTAATGGCAATCAAAGTCTTACGTCAAGACAATAAACGACACGAATATAATAAAAAGATTACTGTTTAATACCCTTCTTATCGTTCACTATATTTTGTACATAAATATGCACTTTATATATAAATATTAATGAATAGTCTTTTATATGTCTATATTATATGTAATTAATTTTTAAGTCAAATAATTTATTAAATTAAATAAAACTATTATTTTATATAAACATTTTGTGTAAATTAATTATATTTTAGTTCCAATATTTCAAATATAATACATATATTGTATATTTGGGTTAAAAACGAGATTCTAATTGTTTTTCAAACACAAATCAATATAAACTATATTTACCACTCAATGGACACTATTTATAACTTTTTACTCTAATTGACAAATGTTTTTCGCACAAATAGTCGCCAAAAACAGATGAATATATGATAATCATAATGAAAACCAAACACAACCTATCATAATGTAGTGTAATATAATTTTACATTTTATGACTCTCTACCCCTCGTCAGAGCCGACGACGTGTCGAATCTGTTTCTGGACTCTCTCTCTCTCTTCTTTCTTTCTTTTAATCTCTCACGTCTTTTGACGGAAATATTTTTCAATGAATGAGCAGTGGATGTGAGGCAAGAGATAATTTGGCGAAGAAGTTAGTTATTGTGGTGACATTCATGTCAGTGATAGTCAGTGATGGCAGTGACGGCATTGAAGCGTCAAATATTGTTTGCGATTCTTGTGTTTATTTATAACGAATTGAACGCAAAGTTTATTTTTAAAATTATTACAAACCTATTGCTAAACACTCCTAATGTAGAGCTCATGCAGATTCTGCTCACAACACACCTAACCATCACTTTTGCATCTCAAGACTTCTATCAATTCCGATATTCAAGAATAACAGTTAGTTATTCGCTATTTATACTAATTTATTACAGAAATCACCCAAAAATATGAATCAAAGCAACAAAACAATTGTTAAAAAATGCAAAAATGATTTAAAACCCAAAACTACAGCCAAGCATAAGATTTTCTAAACTCGAGTTTTAGTCGAAGATTGAAAAACAAATTTAGTTTTGAATCCCATATAAGGATTATCTCCCATCAGAGCAGAAGCGCTGCCGCAATGATTTCATCTGTTATTTTGCCAAAAAGTATTTCACTCTTTCGTTTTGCTAACAAACGAATTAAAACATAAGATTAAACTGTTTTTTAGAGTCATTCACAAAATGTCTTCTTCTGTGATATTATTAGTCCATAAGTATGTGTTGTCCTAATTATTCGCCACCAAAACCTCTCAATACGACTAACCATTTCATTCGTCGCCTTAATTATCGACTAAATTGTTATTGAAATTTGTTGTGATAACAGAAACAGACAATTGAAACACAAAAAACAAAGTGATAAAAGTTGTGGTGAGAACTAAACGGTCAAAATGACATCGGCTTGGAGTCAATTGGAACAGTTGCTCACGTGTTGTGTCTGTTTGGACCGATTCCGGAATCCAAAGCTACTCCCGTGTCAGCACACGTTCTGCGGCGAGCCGTGTCTCGAGGGTCTCGTCGACTACGCCAGGAGACAGATCAAGTGCCCGGAGTGTCGCGCCGAACACCGCATACCCTATAACGGTGTGCAGACATTTCCCAACAATGTCACTTTGGCCCGATTCCTGGACCTCCATCGGGGCATCACCGGCGAAGAGCCGGAACCGTTGCCCTCACAGATGGACAGATGCGGCGTTTGTGGTGAGAAAGCCTTCTGCGAGAAGTGCTCTCATTGTGATAAGAAAGTGTGCGAAGAGTGCAAAGAAGCGCATCTCGATATTCTCAGGCGTGAGATCACTCGCATCAACGGTCAGATCCGGAGGGGTCTCAACAAATTGACAGAACACTCGTCACAGTCGGCCCGAAATTGCGATAAATTACAGTCAAATTGCAAACAGATTAGGGATGAGATCACAGAATCTGTTCGCAGAATCATTAAAGACTTGAAAGACAAAGAATCAAAACTATTACACGATTTGGAAGAATACACACAAACGGAGGCAAAGGGCGGCGAAAAGACGAAAGAAGACTTGGATCAGGAATTACTGAATATAACGAGTAATTGTGAACTCATTGAGAATCACATCAATGAGAACGAGGAGTGGACGGACTCAGAGCTCGTCGAGTATAAGGAGATATTAGTGAAGACATTGGAGTTTCTGAGGAATTTAGATCCGGACACGAGTGACTTCGCCCGTAAAGTCAAGTTTCACTACAAAACAGATTTCGATGTCTTGAGACGATCTGTTGCCGACTTCGCAGAAATCAAGATAACGACACCCAATGTAATGCTCTCTCCGTCTGAAAGTTCTTCAAATTTGAATTCACTTTTGGTTCCGAACCAAACGAATCTATTGAGGAGTCAATCCGACCATCGATTGGCCCAACAGTTCCAAAGGGGAAAGACTGAGTCGAGTCGATATCTGGACATCTCTGGCAGTCAGAGCAGACTATCGGCGCTCACACACAGTGACACTGAAAGAGATAACCGACTCGAGAGGAATACATCGCCGACACGACAAAGATATAGCCGTTTCGGACGAGAAGTAGAGGACAGAGAGTCCAGAAACAGATTCGACACGTCGTCGGCTCTAACGAGGGGTTGGCCGCGGCCTTCAGACTCGGACGAGCCATCCATCGGTACGACCACTCATTTTAGGTCACGTTTTATGAGAGAACGAAACAATCAAGAGTTGAGTAGTTTTGAAGACTCGCACGACTCGGACTACGGAGGAAGTCATCGAAGTGTACGCTTCGAAGAGCCCAACACTAATCAGCCCAGAGTTAAGGTGTTTNACGACCACTCATTTTAGGTCACGTTTTATGAGAGAACGAAACAATCAAGAGTTGAGTAGTTTTGAAGACTCGCACGACTCGGACTACGGAGGAAGTCATCGAAGTGTACGCTTCGAAGAGCCCAACACTAATCAGCCCAGAGTTAAGGTGTTTGAGACCGAAGAAGTGACAAAAGGGCCGATGAGTGGAGTCATTAAACTCATTGACTCGCCATTTGTTATGCTTTCTGACGTAGTTTTGCTTCAGGCTGTCTTCGAATTTCTTGTCCTCCGCGACTTGCGTGGCGGCGGCCGTGGCGTTGGCGGGGGAGGTCACAGTTGCGGCTGCGGATGAGGTGCAGCTCGCGGCAGCAGACAAGTGAGTGAAGACGAGATCGAGAAGCAGAAGAAAGCCAATCACGTGGCGGCGGCCGCGGCGGCAGCCAATCCCATCCCCGCCCCCACACCTGTGCCACAATCGCCGAAGACATCTGTACCTCAATCGCCGACAACGGTTCCCGATTCACCGACGACTCGCATAATCAACCGAAGACTGACTCAACTTCAAAAGGAAGACTCCGTCACTCGTTATAGTCCTGATTCCTCAAGACATGGATCTGATGCGGAAGAATCAGCTCTTGGAGACGATTCCGACACCAACTCAGGCGTCGGTCGGTTTAGTCGTAGACGCGATGAGAGCGAGAGTCCACGGGTTTCCCGACAGACATCAACCCAAAGGCAAGTATCCGATTCTGTCGACAATAGTAGCGCTCCTTCTGTTGCGATCACAACAACGACAACGAAAAAGACTGCATCAAAACGAAGTCCGACAGAAGCTTAAAGAACAGGAGGCGCTGAACGCACCGCCGCCGGCACCGCAACCGCCCCCTCCAGTGTCAACGCCGACGCCTACTCCACGTCGAGCGCCGTCGAGACAAGTGAGCGAAGACGAGATCGAGAAGCAGAAGAAAGCCAATCACGTGGCGGCGGCCGCGGCGGCAGCCAATCCCATCCCCGCCCCCACACCTGTGCCACAATCGCCAAAGACATCTGTACCTCAATCGCCGACAACGGTTCCCGATTCACCGACGACTCGTATAATCAACCGAAGACTGACTCAACTTCAAAAGGAAGACTCCGTCACTCGTTATAGTCCTGATTCCTCAAGACATGGATCTGATGCCGAAGAATCAGCTCTAGGAGACGATTCCGACACCAACTCAGGCGTCGGTCGAAAATCAGCATCTGCGCTACTCTCGCTCTCAGGTGCCCAAAGGGCTGTCTGTAGTTGGGTTTCCGTTCATAGGCTAAGACAGCTGTTATCATCGCGAGGAAGACAACGCTAGTGTTGTTGCTGTTGCTGTGGAAGTGCGCTCACAATCACTCCTCCAATCGACACTCCATTGAATGAGTTTACGAACCCTACCGGTGCTATCACTGGCCCTGACTTGACTTCTCTGCCAATGAGTGGGAATAACTTTATGCCATTACAAGACTCCATAGACTCTAAAGACTATCAAGACTCTCCTGCCTGTCCTCCACCTCCACCTATGCCTACAATTAAATCCAAATACAAGTTTGTGTCGAAACCCTATATTAGTAGTACTACTGCTTCTCAGTTCACAAACAATAACTCTGTGTCCGAAAGACTAGCGAATGAAAGACATGAAAGACTGACAAATCCGACAAACGATTTGTTGTTTAATTCAAGATTTAGTGCCAAAACCACACCAAACGTCACGCGACTATCAAGTGATGTACGTTTTGATAAACACAATACCCATAACTCCGGTCCCAACAGCTATAGTGGTTATACCAGTAGAAGAAATACAGCACTCAATGATAATCTAACGCCAAACTATCCAAAAGCTACCAACGCTTCAACTAATCCCATATATCCCGCCATCTCTGCTATTAGTAGTCATTCCTCCACTAATGGTACTAATGGTAGAGTGGGTTCACCCGAAAGGCGGGTCAGTCTTGAAGACTTTAGAGGTCAGGAGCGGCCAAATTATAACCCGTATAGACAGGCGCGGCCTAACCCACTCATTCCCACACAACCAACGCCTTTAACTACACATTACTCGCACTTAAGAAGTCCGACCTCTGCAGCCATTTTGTCGACAGTGTCTCCGCCGACGACATACAGACAAACGCTTTCATCACTTGGTTTTCCAGATTCAAGTAATGAGCGACAAATCATTACGAATTCTATCGATTGGGGAATTAGTCTTTTTGATTACCTATGCTTTTCACTGGGATTTATTGTTTTCATTACTGTCCTTATCTACAGGTCTGTACGTTCGCCGCTGGGGAAGAACCCATCGATAGACCGATCCGATCGACACCACTCTACCAACACTTCCCCGCACTCAACCGCCGCACAGACAATATCTGACACTACAGTAGACACTAATAGTAGACAATCGACACAAACCATCAGCACTTCAGACAAAACAAAAATCAGAACCCTTTCCACTGACATCGAAACCGAATCCAGCGATAGTAACGCCAGCAATGACTCGAGTGCTGACTCCGAGTCTGAATCCGAAGAAGAAGACGACTCCAATCTCAAGCCATCCATCACTTCTCCCGCCGTCGCCGCCAACGCAACAGTCAGTGCCAGTAGTGGTCGACACCCGACCAGTAGTTCGCTTGACAAACAACAAGAGAGGTCTGAAAGAAACATTCAAATGCCAGCGTCTGTAAGCACTTTATTGAATCGTAGCGCACAGGCCCGCAAGGACAACCTCAACGCCATCAACAGATCCGACTCGCCCTCAGCCACCCCTTCCACCCGATTCTCCCGTCAGAACACTCTCACCGATGAGCCCAACAGCGGTTCCGATCGACCCCTCTATAAGGGAAGGCGAGCCTCAGACGCCACCAAAGAAGACTATACGCCAACCTATCAGTCCAGACGTAATCTGAGTCGAGCGGCCACTCTGGAGGACGAAGAAGACCAACCGGTGACGTCTTCGGCGTACTCACGATTCCTGTCCCGTAGCAAAACGAGTTCGGCTCTGGCGGCTGCCAAAGAGGACACCACCGCTGCCGCCGCCGGCGATGACTCCCGATTCACATACACGCGAAGACCAGACAAATTTGGTACGACTTCTAGTAGTTCTTCATATCGTAGCCGTTTGGCCAAAAGCAAGAGTTCGCATACATTATATGGTATTTGAAATGAGAAATCGTTTAGATATTTGAAAAACAGTCAAAGCCTTGACTTATATTTTGAAGTCGTTTAACATTTATAAATTTAATCGCAACTTGTTTTTCGTTAGCCTAAAAATAATCTATTAATAAGTTTTTATTTTTTACAAACAACTAATTGATTGCGATTTTCAATCATTATTTGAGTTTTTATGAGTGAATTATAACCAAAAGAATCATATTTTAAAGATTTGCAGTGAATTTTAATCGCTAATCAATGCTTACAATTAAAGCCTATAATGATTTGACTGTTATTCAAATTTTTGAATTGATTTTGAGTTCACTGATTATGAAGTGATATAGATTTCAATTGTTTTACCATTATTTTCTTATTTTCTTTCAAACTCTTAAAAATAGTGACAAATATATAACAAATAATTATTGATAGCTTTATATCTGTATAAATCATTGAATAACTATAGGCTTTGATGATAGCGATGAGGAAACTGTTTCGCCCACATATAAGAGTAAATATGGAGAGTCAGCTCTGCCTACAAGAAGGACATCTCGATCTTCGGGATATACGTATAGAACTAGAGATCCGGGAAGTCCTCCGCCAGAAGATGAGACAGGTTTGGACAAACACTCTATACCTAACTTACAATATCTTAAAACCATATATTTATTGAACAAACGATAGGCCAATCAGTGGCCCAATACTTGATCAACAAATACGGCACTAAAACGTCGATCGCATCGAAGAGCGAACCGTCCAATAGAACCAATTCTATACTCAAGAGTAAGAGCTCTCATGTCATATACGGGCGAAGTATCTCGAGTTCGGACGACGAGCCGCCCATTAGTATCCGTCGGAGCAGTCGAGACGACTCGTCCGCATCGCTCATGTCGTCGATCAAGACATCGAGCTTTGGGTTGACTTATCCGCGACAGATGTACCTCCAAAAGGGCAAACTTATGATGAAACTGGGCTCCCGGGGCACCGAAGCCGGTTGCTTTACGTGGCCTCGAGGTGTGGCCGTTGGCCAGAATAATAGCATAGTTGTGGCCGACTCTTCCAACCATAGGGTGCAGGTGTTTGACTCGACCGGACGTTTCTCTTTTGAGTTCGGCTCTTACGGGAGCGGAGAGGGAGAGTTTGACTGTTTGGCCGGAGTTTGTGTCAACAAAATCGGACAATTCATTGTTTCCGACAGATATAACCACAGAATACAAGTGTTTGACGCTTCGGGAAGATTTATGAGGGCCTTCGGCAGTGAGGGCCGATCCGACAGCCGATTCAGTTATCCCTGGGGTATAGCTGTGGACGCGTTGGGCTTTATATACGTCTGCGACAAAGAGAACCATAGGATTCAAGTGTTTCAATCGGACGGCCTTTTTGTGGGCAAGTTTGGCACAATCGGCAGTCGGACCGGGATGTTAGAGCACCCGCACTATATCGCCGTCAGTAACACCAATAGAGTCGTTATCAGCGACAGTAATAATCACAGGATTCAAGTTTGTATTGTTTTTTTAAATTCCTGAAATTTTTGATAAAACATATATTTATCATACGATTCGTTGATTAAAACCTTGTGTTTGTTATATTTTTACTATTTGTTAAATTAATGTTATTTTTGTTTTGTTGTATTAAAAAATAGATCTTCGATGTGAACGGGCGATCACTTTCCACTTTTGGCAGCGAAGGTATTGTCGCATTTTGAAAAACTTGTTGCACACATCCCTCCCATCCCTGCCTTCGCATACCATTAACACTGTATTCCCACTACTTTTTTTCGCTGTTGTTTTTTATGTCATTATTTCGACATAATGTGAGACATTGAACAGCTATTTATAGAGCGAAACAAATAGTGAACATAAATGTTGACATTTGTATGCAATTCATAGTGCTTTTAAAAAACACAAAGTATTCAACGAATTTACACAAATAATTAATTTTATTACTTGAAGTAAATGTCAAGAATAACTAGGGTTGTTACTTTACCGGTAATATTAATTTCAATCTTACATTACAGGTAATATTCGGTAATTTACGGTAATATTCAGTAAAATTGGTAATTTTCCACAAATAAATTGAATAAATGTTCAGTTCTTTATGAAATATTAATTATATGCCTAATTACGATAGTTATCAATTGTATTATAATTAAAATCTACAGAATTACTATCAGAATTACAATTAAGTTCGGCATTTTTATCATTTTTAAAACAAAAATAACAAATGAAAACAATTTTGCTCGTTATATATTATTAATATAGTCATTATTGTCTTTCATTTATATTAATTTTAATTATAAATCCAGTAATAATTAATGTTCAAAATTAAAGTTTCTTTTAAATTATTGAATTATTTGCATTTTGGACATGACTAATATCAAATGTTCTGTATATTTTGACAAGTCACGTGTTTGAATGTTGTAATTTACATGTAAGATTCAGAAATCATGGTAATTTACATGTAAATTACCGTAAATTACCACGGTAAAATTGTAATTTACCAAGTGTCACAACCCTAAGAATAACTCACTGTATAGCACATATAACACATAAAACAAACATTTAATGCTTTTTAAAACTGTCGCTATAATTATAATTAAATCTAAACTATAGGTTCAAATGAGGGACAGTTTAAGTTCCCACGGGGTGTAGCGGTAGACGACCAGGGATTCATTATAGTGGGCGACAGCGGCAACAATCGGGTCCAGATCTTTAACCCGGACGGCACTTTCCTCAAGGCGTTCGGCACTTGGGGTTCGAGTGAAGGCGAGTTCAAAGGTCTGGAAGGAGTGGCCATCACATCGACCGGCAATATATTGGTCTGCGATCGGGAGAACCATCGGATTCAGATGTTTTGAAGCACTTTTGTTCAACACATTTAGTTTTCAGAGCTTTTTCAAAAAGTTATCGTTTAATTTTGTTTATCATTTTGTTTTATTTCAATACTTTATAGAGTTTTTTAGTTTATTTATAGTTTTGGTTATGTCTTTATATATGTGTAAACGACAGGATTTAGGCCTATCATCGATGGTTAGGCCTATTATCCAATGAAATATAAATTTCACAATTTTTACATTTTATTTAAAGCTTTTTATTAGAGTCGATAAGTCAGTGGAAAAGTGGAAAAATATTTGTTTTGCCTGAAATCTAATTGATTTACAGAATCAGTCATTCAATAGATAATAGTTTTATTTTTTAAACTAATTTTAACACCAGTTTTAAATCGTTTACTAACTATTAAGTTGTTATTTGTTTGAAAGAATTGGATACCAAAAAATACTCCAAATGTACAAAAAAAAGTAATGATGATGAATAAATTGTAAAATAAATTAATTGAGTGATAAATTAACTCATAAAATGTGTTTTATTGATACAAAAAATGTGATAACAATTTACAAGAGAGTTGAATGGAAATTACAAATTTAAAAAATCTACAAAAACAATGAAATAATGCACTCATTGGGAGACAATTTAGATGAAGAAAATGGCGAAAATGAATGGCAAATAAATGAGAGATTTAATTGCATTCAAAGATGGGCTCCAAATCATTTCGGGAGGGATTCGGTCGGTAAGTGCCTCTCGTGTCGACCAACTCCTCAACTGACGGCACTTTCTTCGGCTTCTTCTCGAAACACTTGAAAACTCGAATACAAAGATATGCCGACAGAAAGAAGATTATTACATCCAACAGGTATTCGGAGTACGAGAAGTCGGCTGACCATCCGTTCCCGCCGTCGTTCACATTGAACCGGATGTCAATCAAATTGAATTCAACGCCTTTTCCTAGAAATTCAACACTAAATTTGTAAATCAATTCAAACCACAAATAACTTTGCGAAACAAACCGTTGAAACTATCGATAATCATAAGTATGAAACCGGCGAAGAGTTTGGCGCCTTCGATGAACGTCGCGATCACCAACACATCCACTAACGCCAGACACGCGCCCATGAATATCGCAAACATGACAAACGCGTAGACATAGAGGACACCAGTGATGACAATTGTGGCCCACTTTCTCATCGACGCGTCGTTCAACTCGAAGGACAAGAACTGCGAACAGTCTTCGGAACAAACTTCGATCAATATCTTTGACGAGTCGTCGGCTTCCGAACTGATATACTGGGTATCGTTGACCAGTTGGTCGTCGTTCAGATTGTTTTGTGTCTTTCTGGGGTCTGTTGTCTCGAGTGAGTCGTTGGATGCGGTGATCTCTTTAGCGTCCAATAAGATTGTCATTGTTATGGCACTCGAAGAGTCATCGGAAGGCGAGTCATCTTTAAGCCAGTCTTGCCATTCGGACGAGTTGTTCGAGGGTTTGGCGGAATCGCCTTTGGAATCGCTTATCTCAAGAACTTCATGCAAAATGTTGTCCTTATTGAGCAATTCATCGCTTGGAATATAAGTAAATCTCTCGACATGTGTCTCGTTTGTGGTCTTCGGTTTGTCTTCTTCGTCATCATTCAAATCTAAGACTTCCATAAAAAGCGGATCTGAATCTCTCTTCCGTTTCTTCGAGTCTTCGGCGTCGTGGAGGACGTCATCCATATTTACTTCAAGTAAATCGCTATCTTTTGAGCCGTCACTCAATTGCTCATTGAGATCAATGGTCATAAAGTCTTTGGTCGAGTTGTGGCTCGCATTGGATTCCTTAGTAATCCTTTCAATCGATAGAAACACTTGCGTTGCGTTGGCCTCCGGTTGGGATCCGTTGCGTCGATTGGCGCTCATATCGAAGTCAAAAGTCTCCTGAAAGCCAACGAACGCCAACTGATCCTTCGTGTCATTGAAATGGGCGTCAAGACTGCCATTGGCTACGGAGATAAACTGCGAAGACTTGGACACAGTCTTCTGGGAGAGTCGTTGCGCTCGCTTTCGGCGCAATTTGACGACAGTTTCTTTGGACTCAATGTTAAGCCCGCGAACCGACTTAAACAGAGCCGACGAGTGGTGAGAGATGAAGAGCGGTGTGGATGTGTTGGCGGTGATGGCGGTGGCGTTGGGACACGGATGACAGTCAAATGTGGTGATCGTAAGCCAAGTGGCGAATGTGCAGTAAATTACACGACTCAACAGCGATATGAACGACAAGACAATCACTAAGAATCGCAGGAATGAACACTTATTCTTCATCTGTCGCCGAGAATGGGTCACATCTTTCGACGCTTTCGATGCCATCTCTTCGGCCGATGTTTTTTGTTTGCAGTCTTTTTTAGAGATAATTATTGGGAAATGAAATCAAAATTGTCTGAAGAATTGGGATCTGAAGTCCGGTTTGAATTCAAATTCTCGATTTGACATAACTTTACAGTTAATGCTATAAAACATTGTTTAACGTATAATAACGAGACTTTTTCTGACACTTATTTTTGATAATTTGTTCACAATTTCTTTTGCATTAGTTTTTTTACAAATTCTCGATTTGACATAACTTTACAGTTAATGCTATAAAACATTGTTTAACGTATAATAACGAGACTTTTTCTGACACTTATTTTTGATAATTTGTTCACAATTTCTTTTGCATTAGTTTTTTTCAGCGATTTGTTTAGTAATACAGTTCTTCTCGATATGAAGACACTGTTTTTCAGTGACAATTGCTTCAAATATTTACTGTTTGTCTTAATGTTAATCAACGAATGGCTTCAATGAACGCAAAGTTAACTCATGTGAATGAATAGGAAAAAAGTTTTTCCTAACAAAAACTTTTGGTTTAATTTAAAATTTTGATTTTTACTTAAAATATCGATATTATTTATTTAGTAATCTATCATAAGTTGAGATAAATATTTCAAAAAAAACTTAATTTAATTTCACTCATAATATACCAGATATTTGATAAGAAATCCGCTATATTTGCGCAAAGATCTAAAAAACACGGTCTAAACACCGATTTCACAATATTTACTGAAACTATCTTTTAAAGCATTTTTTGCATAATTTGTATGCAATTATAAAATTGAGAATAAATTATAACAAATTCTCGATTTGACATAACTTTACAGTTAATGCTATAAAACATTGTTTAACGTATAATAACGAGACTTTTTCTGACACTTATTTTTGATAATTTGTTCACAATTTCTTTTGCATTAGTTTTTTTGAGCGATTTGTTTAGTAATACAGCTCTTCTCGATATGAAGACACTGTTTTTTAGTGACAATTGCTTCAAGTATTTACTGTTTGTCTTAATGTTAATCAACGAATGGCTTCAATGAACGCAAAGTTAACTCATGTGAATGAATAGGAAAAAAGTTTTTCCTAACAAAACTTTTGGTTTAATTTAAATTTTGATTTTTACTTAAATATCGATACTATTTATTTAGTAATCTATCATAAGTTGAGATAAATATTTCAAAAAAACTTAATTTAATTTCACTCATAATATACCAGATTTTGATAAGAAATTCGCTATATTTGCGCAAAGATCTAAAAAACACGGTCTAAACACCGATTTCACAATATTTACTGAAACTATCTTTTAAAGCATTTTTTGCATAATTTGTATGCAATTATAAAATTGAGAATAAATTATAAATTATTGATTGCATTGACGTGAATATGAGTGAAAAAAGCACTGCATAATAATTAGGGCTAATTGTTATCGACTACGAAAAAACAACAGTCATTATATACACAAATTCAGAGCTCACCATAAAAATGGATAAAATATTCAAAAACTAATCAAAATTTAGTTTATTTTTTCATTTTTCGGGAACATATCGTACGCATGGATAAGAAAGTTGTAATCAATTGACAAAACACTTCAAAACTACTCAAAAAATGTATTGTTTTGTTAAAAGTTTGTCGTAATAATAGTTACGACTCAAACATACACTGTCTTAACGATCAGCTAATGAATGCACAGCAAAAAAGTCAGTAATAATTTGATTAATACCTGAGATTATATGCCATAAAATACTCTCATGTCTTTACGGGTCGACTGGTGTTCAAATGCCTTCACAACCAACAGATGATTGGGTTTTAAATATTTATTAATAGATATCATAATTATTGTTAACGTTTCAAAGTCAAGAACCGCTCATCCGATCCTTTAAATCATATGTTAATTACAAATCACTAAAAATTTGCGGAAAATATTTACACTATTTATAAACTTTTTTAACGTTAAGAAACGCTTAATTTAATTAAATATTTATTTATAAATTAGAATATTTATTCAATTAAATACAAATGAATAAAATAAATATTATGTTTAAAACAGTATTTTATTTAGTTTTTAAAACTTTAAAACTAGGAATTAATATAAATTGCAACAAAAAATGACTAAATTATATATTAATTGAAAAACAAATCAGTAATCATTTGAAACACAAAATGCAATAAAACTCTAAAACAATATATAAATACATTTTCTAAAAATTATTTAATCCGTGGATTAAGTCTTGAATTTGAATCCATTGTCTAATTTGAGTGCAAAAGACTGACCACAAGAGCAGCCCTGTTGTGACTGAGGATTATTGAGAACACGGAACGAGCTTTTGATCAGCTCTTCGCTGTAATCAATAGTGGATCCGTTCAGGTATTGCATCGACTCGTTATCGACCACCACTTTGACGCCATTCTTCTCGAAGACAATGTCTTCAGCAGTGGTTTTGTCCGTCACGTGGAAGCGATACTCAAGACCAGAACAGCCGCCGCTAAGCACTTCCACTCTTAACATCTCCTCCTTTTTGTCCAACACTTTCTTCAATCGTTTCACACAATTATCGCTGATATCTATCGGCGACGAAGACAGCGGTCTCGACGACGACTGGCCCTCATTTGGCGTCCCTTTGATGGCACTGTCTTTCAGCGCATTGTCTTTCAGCGGATCCGTGGCGTCGATGTCTTTGCCAGCGTTGGAGTCGACGGCGTGTCTGGAAGTGACGGACAAATACTTGCAATGGTTTCTCATTAAGACTTCATTCAAACGTGTATTCATTAAAATGTGATTAAACTTGAAATGAGTGTTCATTTTGTGAATCAATACTCTCTTCACAATCGACACAAACAAACACTTATTAATTGTCACTAATTTTGCCATTGATTTGCGATTTCAAACACTAATCCGATTACTATTTCATTCATACAATCAATGCATTCATTAAAACACACATCAAATCAATCAATCGTTTGTTGTTTTCATTCAACGAAAAAACTTAACGAAAAACAAAACAAATATTTTTGTTATTTATTTGGCGTTTCGTTTGTTTTGAACGTACTTTTCATTCGCATTCAAAATATACGCCAAACCTCTGAATGCAATGCAATGTATGTGTTATGCAATCGCTTTTATTCGTTCACTTATTAACCTTCAACTCAATATGAAATTGTCATAAAAAATTTTCAACAATTGTACTCAATGTGAAGGGCTATTGATTGCGCAATACTGGTCACAAAACCTGTTACGTAAGTACAATTTTCAACCCCACTACGTATCGTTATACACTACAACCCCTCACCCCCCGCACACCCACCCCCTCTTCTATGAGAACTACATATATTAATAAAATTGAGGAATGGAATTATCGCCAATGCTTGCGCTGTAATAATTAGCCCTTTTTATACACACAACGCAATGCAATGCACACAACAAATAGACCCAAAATATATTTACTTCCAACAAATATCGCGGAATTGGAATTTTGTGGCATTTGTTCATAAATAACGTAAACATATATTCGGTTCGGAAAAGCGTTGAATTGAGTGGAAAAGGGTTCGCATTAAATGAGCAGAAAAGCGGACGTAATCTATGAGTTTGAACGGAACCCACATTACAATCACATCCAAAGGTTATAAAGTGTAGACTTATAGCGAAAAAGAGGTCATAATTGCAGTGAAAGTGATATTCAATTCATTCGTTCAGTCATTCAATTGATTCAAAGATCACTTCTTTTTTTGTGTCCAAAACTTTGTGCGAAACTAATCGTAAGTATTGAATGAATGAAAGCGTGGATCAGATGTCGGGATGCGATGTATGCGTGGCTTAAGAGTGGAAGTGATGTACGAATTGAAGGTCAGGAGTGAGAGAGAGAGGGAGAGATGTGTTCACGTTTTGCAGCGATTGCATCACTTTTGGTGACCAATTGATGAGCGATTAGATTGTGATTATCTGTTGACTTTTTAGTGTGGAAGCGATGGCAGACATACCCGCGGGAGACGCCGAGAAGGGGAAGAAGGTATTCGTGCAGCGATGCGCTCAATGCCACACCACGGAGAAGGGCGGCAGTCATAAGACGGGACCCAATCTTCACGGACTGATGGGCCGAAAGACGGGCCAAATGGCCGGCTTTGACTACACGGAGGCCAACATCAAGAAGGGTATGTGTTCTGGAGGGGTTGAGCTGATCCGGCGATGATGTGGTGATTGGTTGGTGTAATGGGTGTCTAATCCATGGCAGGTATCACGTGGTCGAAGGAGACACTGTTCGAGTACTTGGAGAACCCAAAGAAGTACATTCCGGGCACTAAAATGGTGTTCGCGGGCCTCAAGAAGAAGAACGAAAGGGCGGATCTGATCGCGTACTTAGAGTCGGCCACCAAATAATGCCATCACTTTCTTCGCGCGCTTAGGAATTAATTTTAAAATTTTCATTCAAGTATTCTTCTCCTTCTTCTCTGTCTTATTGTCTTTGTTTTTAGTTATTTAAACAATTCATTCAATTATTATATAATTATTTAATGCTTTTTTGGTTTAGGAATAAATTTATCGCAACCTCTTATTTATGGTTTGAAATTATATATGTTTTAGAAGTTATTTTCAAATTGTCTTAAATTAGCTCTAAATTACATTCGGTATTCAAGAAATGATTAATTTATATACTTTTTATTTGTGGTTTAAATTCACGTTTTTTGTTGAATCGATTGCAACCGCTGTTAAAAGTATTGTTATATTTTCTGTTTTGTTTTTTAGTTATAATTAATTAAAAATTAAAATCAAAATTTATTCTCTGCTTTATTTCTATCACTCTTTTTGCTTAACATTTAACACAATAAAAGTCTCGTTATTTAACCGACCGGTGATTGAAATGCAAAGTCTATCCTATTATTCAATATCGGAATTGAAGGTTAAATCTTATGCTGAAGTGATAATAGCATTACTTTCACAATAAATAAGACTCAAAACTTATAATAATTGATATAACAGTAAATGTGTGAATACTTTCGCATCGCTGTAGTAATAAAACCAATGATAAAATTTGTTTGGCAGTGAATGACGAAATATCACCTCAACATTGAGTTGAATTTCACTGCTAAACCACTTTTATACATATGATTATCCAATGGAAACACGTGTTCACTTCAATCAATGTCTAACCATAAGTATTACACAAAAATCGCTGTTTCTATGACTTCAGTCCTCCAGTTATTTAATCACTGATTGTATCGTAAAATAGCATTGATTAGAAAAATTGGCTTAAAATTAGTTGATTTTGATAGACTATTAATGATAGTATTATAAATAGATATTTTTTAGGCACATGTAACTTAATTATATGATTGAATTTCTAAATTATAAATTGTTTATCCCTTTTCAGTATGATTTTCATAGAGAATTGTTATTTTTATAATAAAATAATTAAAACAATTATTGAAATATCTGTTGATTGCAATTATAAGGAATGTTTGAGACATTCATTGAATACGCTTACAAAGTAATTAATTTAATAAATTTTAAGAGTAAACCAACTATTAATTTAACATAAATTATTTTTCATTTATTTAAATTATAAAAACATTCATCATGATGACAACAATAATTAATTACATCATTATATGAATTCATTGATAATAAATTACTGTTATATAAAACATACAAATAATAATATTTAAACATTAAATTAAATAGTTGTCGAAAATGAAATCAAAAATAAAACTAAAATCAACAAGGTCGTTTGTTACATAGTTTGAAATGCAAACTATTAATAAAACAATTGCCAATAAATTGATAATTAAGTCATGTTTGGGATAATCATTGTTGTCGTCAGAGATGCGCTCTAATAGGAGACTACGGTGTGTTGAATATCTCATCGGCGGTTATATTGATATCACCGGCAGATGTGAATCACATGTGGTAACTGTTATCTTCTTATGAACTGGAGTCCAATTTATTAGATCATAAAGTGTTGAACTTGTGGTCAATCAATTTGCCAGTAATTGAAACTCAATTTTACTTCAATATTATATCATATACTGTACTGTATTTTTATTAATATTGTTTTTTGTAGTAAAAACTTACTAATTGTTTAACTTTTATTACGTTAATTGTTGTGACAAAAACAAATACATTTGACAATTATTAATAAAATGTTTATTTTCTAGTAAAAAAAATCATGAATGACTTGTTTGGAACAGTTCAGGTGATGCAAAGAGTGTTAATTTACTTTTGTTAACTTTGTATCTCAAATATATACATCGATTTGTAAAAATTGTTTAAAGCCTTGAGATTAAAGCCAAGGTTTAGTTTAAATTTTAAACTTTAAAACCAATAATTCAATGCGAATTCAATGTAATTTTAAATGTTAATCACATTAAAAATACTATTCAATAATATTGTGGAAATAAATAGATTGAAGATTTTTTAAATAATAATGGATAAACACATCATAAAAGCTTAAAATAACACGTTTTAAATATCAAATCGTAAAACAATTTATATTGATTTAAAAATAATAATGTAAATAATACCGAGAGTACATTTCTATCTTATTAGGCACTTTGATTTTGAATTCATTATCTAATTAAATACAAAGTAAGTGATTTTCCTAATTATTTTCATTATTAAATAATTAAAATAATTTCAAAACATTAACTCTAAATTATATCAGTTTTGGAGTACTGTATCAAAGTTTGAGTTTAAACGCAGATTAAAACTTTATTTTACACTTTGAACACCAATTTTATAAATAAAAATTGGTTTTGGATTTTAGTTGTGATAAGAAATTATTTGTCAAATATAAATAATACCATTAACAGTAAATTCACCATAAATTTAGTGAAAATTACGGAAAATAGCGACAAAATTCATACGAAATACTTGTGAATTATAATATTAATAGTCGAGAGTTTGTATTTGTTTGACAGATTGTTTGATAAATTGTTTGTTTTGCAAAAATAAATTTATTTATAAATCTAAACACTTGTAATATATTCAGTGGACAATGCATTGAAGTTTATTAGAGGATCTGTTTTACATCTTACCTATAATAAGACACTTATAAATTACTTGTTATATACATTCCTGTATTAAAAACCATGTATTATTCGCATCTTTTGATGACATTAACACAGTTTCAGACATGCATTTGTGGTTTTTTATACCGTCTGCCGTTTACGTCAATAAAATATTTAGTTTTTTTTAATGAATTTTAATCAAAGTTATTATCCTTCACTCGTTAGAAATGATTTAAACACATGAGACCTTTCCTTCATTATGTTATGCATCAAAAATAAATTAATATTTTTTATTTCGTCTGCAATTTACTGACTGAAAGCACTTTCTCCAAACATTTCTCTTTCAAACATAAAATTTTATTTAAATTATGTCTTTGAATACAAATTATTACATTAATTGAATTACCACTTTATATGTCATAATACTTATGTAATTAGTATTACTATATAATTATATCAATAAATAATACTAAAAAAATGAACCAAAGATCAATAATTTTAGCATCATAATTTATTTTGTGATTCACATTTTTTGGTATTAATGGAATTAAGCATAATACAAAATTTGATATAGACAAATATGATTTTAAATGTATATTTAATGTACAGAATGTAACAGTAATGATATTTTTCTCTACTTAAGGCTAATTTATAATATAATTACCTTTTCATAAATATTTTATGTAAAATTATCTCACAATAATATCCTAGATTAGTTAATATTGAATTCATAAAACTAAGTTATACTAAAAATATAATAATATTTTTGCGTCGTTTACGTGAATATTAATGTTTATTTCAAGTCTTATATAAATTAAAATTATAATAACATTTAATACACCTGTAAATATTGATATACTACATGTACTAACGATTAATATTAGCTGTCTATTTGTTTTAAAATACACCTCTATTTCCAATTGTTTTGTATTTCATAAACAATAATCAATTGATAATATGTTTTAATTGTAATAAACCCATAATATAAGTCTCTCTCTCTCTCTCTCTCTCTCGCACTTACTTTCACTCACTTTCTCATAACATATATAATTACAAATGATATACAAAAAATGCAAAGACTTTTAAAAGGAAAGATCACATTTAAATCGAGTGTAATATTATTTCAGTCTCTCTTATCCGTTAAAATGTCAGTTATATATCAAATGAATAATTCTTTCGTTGAACTCATTTTCAGTCAATTCTTTCCTTTACTTACATTTAAGGGAAAAAGAGTATGAATTCATGAGTTGTTTAAAAATTGTTCATTGAATTAGAAATTTTGAGATAACTTTTTGTGTGCAGTCTCTCCAGGAATAGGCAAAACATTTGCAATACTATTCATTCGGTTATGAAATTTATTAATATATGGTATAAGTAGTCAAAATGTGATTTGTATTTATCATTAAATTTGTATTTTATTAAAATATGCATTTTTAGGTTACGTGTAATGAATTCGAGATAAATAGTAAGATCTATTTAGAACTAATGAAGTTAATTGATAACTGTTTTAAATTGTTTAATATTAGACTTTTAAATAATAAGATTAATTATAAAGTCTTTACGCACAGAAAAAGTTAGAAAATTGCAACAAAAGTCCAGAATAATTGTTTGGCGGAAACAATTTGTCTTAAAGTTTTGCAGAGATGACAGTATAAGAGAGAGAAAGCGAGAGAGAGAGAGAGAGAGACCAAGAATTTCTTATAGTAATTGTGTTAACCGGTTGTCGGTTTGTGTGAACAACAAAAGTTAAGGACAGCACCACTACTAATGTCCGGGTCTTTAGTTACTATTTAGGAAAAGGGATGACACAAATAGAGGCAGAAAAAGTGGTTCACAAAAATTTTTGTCCAAAACTAATAAAAAGGAAACTAAAGTCTTAACTGAAAAGAACAGAAACATATTTATCACATAAATATATATATAAAAACTACAAGTATTACAACACCATTGAGTGCATTGGGACTGACGCGAGAGAGAGAGAGAGAGAGACCAAGAATTTCTTATAGTAATTGTGTTAACCGGTTGTCGGTTTGTGTGAACAACAAAAGTTAAGGACAGCACCACTACTAATGTCC